CAGCTAACGGTTTGCAGGCGATTCGATTAGTAAACACCAGTGGCGAACCGAGGGTCCTCCTCCTCGAAAATGGTTCGCGAAATTTTTTAAAATCTACTTACATGGGTTATAAAAATGTGCAAGTGACTTGCTCATTCTTGTAAATAATTAAAATAATTTTTAAATATTTTTAAAAACTCAAATTAGCCTTGTAAAATTTTTTTGGTGGGCGTGGCCACCGCCATGCCCCCTTTCTTCAGATTTTAGGGGTTACAGGCCCGCAAAAATTTTTTGGGGCGCCCCTCAGAAAAATTTTTCGGAGCGCGTGGCTAAGCCACACACCTTCATCTCAAAGATTTTTTGGCCCCCCCCCGCCCCGACGGAAATCCTGCGACTGCCACTGGTACACACACTTGTTTTCCAGTTGCTTATCCAGCCAAAGCTGCTTCTCAGTACAGCAAAAGAATCGCGAAGTCAGCTATGCATAAATTTCGGTCCATAAAAGTTATAGAGAGAGATATAATACACGATCGAATAAGTTTACAAATCGGGACAAGATATTCATCTCTCACTGCATTGGCGATTAGATGGGGTAGAGATAGAGAAATCCGCTATTAGCACCGCATCCGCAGATATTGGGGGTACTCAGAGGGTATGCAGTGATGAATGAAGGGACCGAAAAACCGACAGTTCGCGAAGAGTTGCTCACTGGGATAATTTGTGCTTCCCCTCAATGAATGCCAAAGGTAGACAAAAAATACGAATCTTTCCCTACTTTTTCATTTCTGATACTTCCTTAATGTAAGTGAGGTCTTCTCAACAAAGTCTACATCTTCGGAGCATGTAAGTTTGATGTCTGATGCATAATTAAGTGTGAATAAAAATTTGGATTTATACTGATAAAATAACAGCTGGAAATAACATTTTGAATCTAGACATAAAAAAAGGAGATGACCAGGTAAAGTTGCTTGTGAAATCTATTTTTCGATACGTTACAAAGCACTAAAATCGCGAAAGAAATATGCAACGTGGTCGAGATAGAATATATCCGTTGTTTTCTTATCTGCCAACGACTAGACGTCTGATAAAGTAATTTTTTTGAAAGCTACGAAAACGTCGTGACCTTAGGATGCGCGCCCGGCAGTAGTGTCTAGCTATTAAGCTTGTAAGAAATTCTGTAGAGTGGTTCACATGTTTATGAAAGTGTGCTGTTTGAAGAGAGCTATCTCGTTGTTGTTAATACGGATAGTTTTTGAGCAGTCTTGGTTGTGTAAAGGTACTACCGCTTTGCACATATTGTCTGAACAAACCTGAACTTGTTCATTCTTGATTTTCAGTATAATCTTTGATTAGAAAGATCACCATATTGGAGGTGGTGCAGGAGGAACCAAAGGCTTGGCCGCCAGTGTCCGCAGGAGATAATCAAGAGCGTGAGCAACGTGGAGAAGATTAGTCAGGGACCCAAAAGGTACTGGCAGGGATATCCGTTTGGAATGAATTCCTCAATGCTCTGACAAGGAAAAGTTCCAAAAGTTATGAAAGGCAGATTTGGAATTAGCATTTGGAGGCGCATTCACAAGGTAACCCAAATTCACAATGGTCTAACAGGCAAAAATGACCCACACGTAACAACTTGCTAAAGACAAGATCAGGCTTCCTTGAACAACACTGCAAGGCAGTCTCGAGTCTCCTAGTCATAGAATGAATAATACGTAGCCGGCAGTTGTCGGTTGTTGTCAGGGCCAAGCAAGGGGTGTGGCACACGATCGCTGGTTACGACCCCCCCCCTGATTGCTGTCTCAATAAGACCCCCCCCTGGACTATACCCTTAAGATAGCATTACTTGGAGGCCCTGTCAAACATAATGGGCAACATATCCATAATGAGCATGTCAATTAACCCCTGTAGACAAAGTTTGAGCGAATTCTGAAGATTCAAGATACTAGGCTACTTAAGTGAAATGGTCAAATTCCAACATGGTTAACTTTGTTTCAAAGGTGAATTAGCTATCCGTTTTCGCACTCAAGACAAAGCACTACTCCTTCTTTGTCCACCTCAGGAATCCCGCTTCAGAAGACCTCCAAACTGTGGAATTAGAAGCCAACCAAAATCTCGTTTTTCCCATTTTTCTCTTTTGATCGCTGTGCTTTCACCAAATATTACTCAGAGCTAAGAAGACGAATCAGGCTCAAATCACTCCTGTGAAAACTAGGTGATCTAGGCTATCGATGCATATAAATACTGTCCGCTAAAAATGTTTTTTTGATATAGTTATTGGCCTGCGGCACCCCCCCTCAAAACCTGCGGCAGCCGCAGGTTTTGAGGGGGGGGGGGGGGGTGCCGCAGGCCATTAACTATATCAAAAAAACATTTTTAGCGGACTATATTTATATGAATCAATAGCCTAAACCTCGTAGATTCCATAGGGATGTTTTGAGCCTGATTCGTCTTCTTAGCTCTGAGTAATATTTGGTGAAAGCACAGCGATCAAAAGCGAAAAATGGGAAAAACGAGATTTTGGCTGGCTTCTAATTCAATAGTTTGTAGGTCTTCTGAAGCGGGATTCCTGAGGTGGACAAAAAAGGAGTAGTGCTTTGTATTGAGTGGAAGATGAGGTAGCTTACTCACCGTTAAGATGAAGTTAATCATGTTTTGAATTACTGCTTTATACAAGGTTGTTTACTGCTTGGAGACCTCAGAGTTCGCTGAAACTTGTCGCATAGGGGTTATTCGACACGCAGATTACGACAATTATGCTTGATTAGAGGTACGGTAGGTTACGGTAGGCATACGGTATCTGCAAGTTTGTGTCGTTGAACTTGAATTTTGCAGGATTTCAACAGCGCTTTCATCAAGTCAATTTAGTCACACAGCTTGTACAAGTGCTTTTGACCTTGGGTCGATACGACCCCCCCCCCTACCTACCCCCCCCCCTAACGACCCCCACCCTGCGGCGTGCCGCACCCCCCGCTTTACCCTGGTTGTTGTAGACCTTAGTCACGCGTGTTATGCGCTCTCTGACTGGCACTGGCCACGTATGGCGACCCACTAGACATTCATACTTGAAGGATAAAATGAAAGTTCGATGTTAAGATGAAACACTTCTTAATGGTGATACGGAAACATGGATTCTAATTTCCAACATAGGATGTCAACAAAGTATGGCATGCAATAGCGCTCGTAATTTTCGTTTGAGGGCCGCGGCGGCTGGTGGAGCGGGCCGAACTTCGCGTCCTGTCGCCACATATTGCATCAAAGGACGAATTCTGAATCCGCATCACTCGACTCAGCTCGACGGCATCTTCGAGTATGCAGAAATACCACATGCCTAGTGTAAGCAGCGGAAGTCACGAATTTTTTCAGATTTCTGCTTGGTAGGTTACTCAGCGTGCTTATCCACTGATCACCGCGTAAACTACCGCAAAGTCTGGAAATATTCGTGAAATTTGACTGAATATGTGCACCCACCGTTCCGGATATGCACAGGCACATCTATAAATCGGAAAAGCGCCTCGTCGAGCTGTGTGGAGGGGGGGGGGGGTGTATGCCCTTCTGAACCGCTTCTTCCCCCCCCCCCCTCCACACAGCTCGACGAGGCGCTTTTCCGATTTATAGATGTGCCTGTGCATATCCGGAACGGTGGGTGCACATATTCAGTCAAATTTCACGAATATTTCCAGACTTTGCGGTAGTTTACGCGGTGATCAGTGGATAAGCACGCTGAGTAACCTACCAAGCAGAAATCTGAAAAAATTCGTGACTTCGGGTGTATGCCCTTCTGAACCGCTTCTTCCTAGCGCTAATTGCTCTGCTCGGGAGGCGCTAATTACTCCGCCTTTCTTATAATCTATCCTAATTTTCAAATATTTCTGAGCATTCCAAAGCAAGCGAAGCACACGAATAATGATGGTAACGATGTTTGAATTATGAAGACAAAAAGCTGGAAAAGTTGCATGTTTTTTTACTGGTTTTTCGTGATTTCTTCGCCCTTCCCAATTTTCAAAAACACCATGAAGTCTGCACGTGTAAGCTGAAGCATTTACCTAAGCCGCCCACGTATAACACTTCTGAGTTTCATGGGAAACTCGAAATCTTGTTTAATTCCTTTTATCATGAGAATGCCTTTGCAGTCCAATTCAGACGTTTCTAGCGACAACATAGCTCTCGCCTACCCAAGCGCCGCGGCAGCGCCGACCAATCAGAGGCGCGCAGTAATTAGGCTGCTAATGCTAGCGGTTCAGAAGGGCCGTCTCCCGTGGAGGGGTGCCCTTGTAGGTGATGGCAAGGACGCCGTCCGCCGCGATTCTTGACCACAAATGACGAGCGATATTGTATGCTAACGGCAGAGCTCCAAATTTCGCATCAGGCTTTGTACGCACGAAAATTTATAAGGCTGCTGCAAAAAAATCATTTGTGAGGTTGGTTCCTATTTGGTTTCCATATTTTTTCGTAAAAGTGAATGTCGAAAGAGAGCTGTTATATACTAAATTCGATCTTCTCCTGCTATTGGCGCTATTCTTGTTTTTGTTACCTTTTTCCATTGTTTTACATTTTCCCTTAAAAAATGCAGTAGTTAATGCAGTAGTTTCCCTTGATAAACAAAATCGTAAGCTGTTTTGGAGTCTCAAAGAAGAAAAAAGTCTCTTGTGTATCACATGAGCAAAATTTACGATACATGGCTACTTTGTGACTCAAAAATATTCAAAGAACAGAGAAGCGCAAAATATTCACTCGATGGTGGAGCCGGCTATGGAGAGATTTTTGCTAAGAGAACTGCTGTGCTTTCAAATCAAATATGTAAATGTAGTAAAGATGAACAACTGGTCCCGCAACATGCTCTGTCAGAGTTAGAGACCTGCTGTGTCGATCGGAGCTTTACATCTTCTCAGCATAGGCTTTATTCACTAAAGCTTGAATTTGACTGTGCGTTTCGCGGAAGAAAGTAAATGTCAGCTACCTATGAAAACATCTGATACTTTACTTGGTAGCATGTAGCGAAAAAGATCGATGAAGCCTTGCTCACCTTAGTCTCAGAAATGTATAAGGTACTACTCCACAGAAGCCAAGCTCTTGTAGACGAAGAAAATGCGGACACAAAGGCAGACTGAAGCGGCGTCATAAAAGCGCGCTGGAATGCGACTAGGCAGGGGTAAGCAGGCCAGTCATCAGCGACACTCCCGCCTTAATTGCAGGGTTTGTTTTCAAAATCGTCGTCGTTTTCGAGCGAAACGGGCACCCCATGGCTGATGTCAGCCAACAGCGAGGGAGCGCACATTCACTTGATAAAAGCGAGCAATCTTTGGAATCATCAAGAGAAGGGAGGGGGAGGGGGGGGGGGACACAGAACGGCCACGTGGTGTGATTCACTCCTTCGCACCCTGACAAATTCGCCGTCAATCGTGTCCTGTTTTCGGATCACATAAGGGGATGCTGCTCAAAAACGCAAAGTGTATGTCATTGAAAGGCGATTTGGGCACAGCCGAAACAATGATAGCAGGTAGCTTCGGCCTAACTCCTTGTGGGAAAGCCACCTAGTGCGTAAGCAATACAAGCATTCGACAAAAATCAGTCCAGACTGCAGAGAGGCTTAATTATGATTACAATAGTACCTGCTTGCCTTTTTGAGTAATGTGGATTTTGTAGATTTGACATTCAATGGGACCACTGCGCTGCCGAAAGCCTGCGCCTATGGTGTTGGCCTACGGATAAATCTAGATTGTATAGATAAGTGGTCTGCACCCATTGAAAGCTATCAACTTCTAAGCTTTTGGAAAGACGCCTAGCTGGAGAAACATAATCAAGATATTCCCAACCATGCCAACATTCATCGACATCAAGCAGAAGTATCACGGTCTATAGACATTTCCTTTGCGCAAGTAATGCAGATAAGGAACACAAATTGAACGTTCTCAGTCCCTTCAGAATGTGGATTTGAAGTGACCAGATAGAGGACGCATTTTGTTCCCAAAACGAAATATATGCTGCATTTCTCAGTTACTGCTTACAACGATGCAAGAATTTCGTTGAACATCAATGTCCGGAAACCTTCTCACCAGTTTAATAAAATGTGAGATTATTGATCGAGAACACAGCTTAACAGAAACGATGGTGACATATAAGAACAGATGTTGCGAAAAGAATATGATAAGCTAATAAAAAGAAGAACGATGGTAAGGACTTATGTCGATCATTCTCGACGAACGACATAAAAAGCAAAAGTCCTAGCGCGATACGGAGAATTTTTGCGAAAAGACTACGTCCAACATTGGCGTATTCGGGTTGTAAAGAAAGCTGTCTCTGACCAGTTGGCCAGCGACAACGCTTTTGGTGACCGTCAACAGCATATGTTAGAGGTCGTCGAAGGACGCTCCTAGGCGACAAGTATGCCAGGTATGCAACGACTGGCACAAACACTCGCTCAATAGACTCTAGTTGCGCGCACCGCTTGATCTTATCTGACAGTTCTCATGAACTGGTCTAAGGATGTTCGCTGAAAAAAAAAGAAGGAAAGGAAAAGAGAATACAGGAAGGGAGAGTAGCAGAACATGTAATTGGAAGCGACTTCACTGTCAGTTGCTTCCGATGAATGTTTGCAGACAAGACAGTATATACCTAATTGACATGATACATAGATCTCAAAAAAGGCAAAAATTTTTGCATATCAAATTGACAACGAGACAATCCACAGGAACTCTCCAAAGGCTTTGGGGTTTCCTTAAAGGCAGCGTCCAGGCAAATCTGGACATATGGGGCTCTTACGTGGAACGTAATTTTGGGGCCTTAACTAGCCACCAAGCGGTAGCTCAGGTAGTGCTCCAACGGCTGAGATACTCACCTCGAAACTGGACCCCGAGATCGTATTTCGCATAGATTCATGGCGCAACCCATAGGTCCTCGCGCGAAATTGATGGGTTGCGCCATGAATCCATACGAAATACGATGCCGGGGTTCAGTTTCGAGGCGAATTATCTCAGCCGTTAGTGCCTACCTGAGCTGCCGGTTGGGCAGTGGCTTAGTTTGGGCCCCAAAATTAGTATCCACGTGAGAGCCCCATAGTCCAGATTTGTCTAGTAATGTTTGTTGTTGTTGTTGTTAGAATTCAAATTGTGTGCTAGAATAAAATGCGCAAAGATAAGGATCCATGTGGCATTATAAAAGGATCTCTGGAATTAATACCTTGAGACGGTTTTCAGATGCAATTTTTGAGAAACTAGGTAGGGCTATAGACGTCATATAAGAAGAAATCCTCTGCAATTCCTACTAGATAAGGATCCATGTGGCAGGATCCTACTAGATTTATTTCTCTACGTAGATAATATATATTAGAATCAAGAAAGAAGAACATCTCAAGAACATCTTTGAGTTACTTGTAACGTTTTGCAAAAATGTCATCTTAGATCATATTTGTATATTACAATTATTTGAATTTGAAAGTTAAATGAAAATCTTGAACCCGTAAATTTAATCATCTCGATAAGAAGTTTCTTTTTTCGTTAATCCATCATGAAATAGTACAAATGCGTTGTAAAAAAAAAGACGCAAACTAGGAAATTTGGGACAAGATTCAACCGAACGTAGTGATCCGTTTGCGCCTATCACTTCGAAATCAGGAATGATACGTGAAATCGATAAGGGCGATGAAGTGTGTAAATGACATCCAACGGAGTGACAATGCAGATTTTCAAGCTCCACCCTCCTTGCTGTCTTCAATGTCAGTAAGTACGGAAATCAGGATAGTAAGGATGATTGCGATTACTTATGAAGGTCTTGCGAAACGTTGCATTTAAATTTCTATGAGGATCTTAGCCTAAATGATTGAGAAAAATCTAAAACTGCAGTCTTTGGAAATTAGCCAGTGCTACTGAGAGACGAAGAACGTGGGACCCTTTTCACAAGTTTTGAAAATCCAAGCCAGAACAACTCAGTCCTCAATAATAAAAACTCTAAGGCTATGCCCAGATTTGCCATGCGCCAGCGCCGTGCTAGCTCCATGCCAGCACCCATGTTACGTAATGATCGATCGATGGCACACCACCAGCGATTCTCAACTGCTAAGCTTCTAGCCGAATGTTAGGGTTTTTTATATATTGCTGGATAAAAACTGGATTGCGTGCAGATCAGGCCTGTGCTAGCCCATCGATCGATCAATACGGGCGCATCCACGTGCGCGCTGGCACGGCGCCTGCACGGCGCTGACATACGCACAAGAAGTCTTACTGAAGAATCAAAAAGAGGTTTTAGGGCGGCATGGATTAATATCCCCGCCGGGGAGGGGATCGCAGCTCAAACGAAAAGCTTTATATCCTGACGCTCCAGATATCTGGATTTCACGCTGTCTACCTATCCGTAAATATTCCTACTATCCTTCACTACGAACATATTGCATAGGAGCGAGAAGCTGTATAAGCCGCGTTTTCCAGATTTCTGTATGATCCCCAGCGCCCATCCGTCTTTTCTTCAAGGTCATTTCTCTTTCTACTTAATTAAAATGTGCCAAAGTTTCACTAATTATCTGACCAAACAGTGGTAAGCATGTTTCTGATAGGAACAAATGATGTGTTGGAATCATAAAATTTGCGATGAACCCAAAGTCGAAGGTTGGGGTTCATCGAAAAATTCGATATTTCAAAAACTTATTTGTTCTTATCAGCAACATGCTTACAAGGTGGTCAGAAATCGAAGTGGCCATTCCAGACAAGCTGCGTAGCTAGAATGCAGCATGAAGCGCTGACTCTAAATCTGCCTTCTTTATCTGCTTATCGCTTTTCTGGACGAAGTTATAAGCCATTGAAGACCATTATTTTGCCTAGAAATTATATGTGAAATTGAAAATTTAGCCGTGCAGAACCTCGTTCGCCTCAATGCCGGGTCAAAACATGCAGCTAGCTTACTTAAAATTTTTGAAGCCAGAATCTGAGCTAAAAGTGCAACAATGTGCTCAATTTCGCTGTTTTTATGTATGATTTTTTCACAATAAAACCGCTTGTAGCTTCGTCCACAGAAGCGGGAAGCAGATAAGGAAGACAGATTCGAAGTCAGCGTTTTATACTGCATCGAATGATATACAGCTTGTTTGGTTTGTCCACTTCGACTTCTGACCATTCCCTTGTTAGCACTGTTCGGTTAGACGAACGGTACAACTTTGGAAGGTTTTCGTTAACTTCGAAGAAAGAAAAATGACCATGAAGAAAAAATGGTCGGGTGCAGGGGATCATCAGGGGACCATATAAAAACCTGGAAAATGCGGCTTGTACAGCTTCTCGCTCCTATTCAATTTATTCATAGTGAAGGATGATAGGAATACTTACGGATAGGCAGACGGCGTGAAATCCAGATATCTGGAGCTTTAGAATATAGTCGCTTTAGAAGCTTTAGAAGGTGAAAATCTGGGTGGACGATGCCTTTGAGCTGCTTGAATATGAGGACTATGTTGGTACAAACTCATTCCAAAAATTTTCTTTTGCTGTGAATCTAGAAAAAATCTAGACCTCTTTTTTCTTTGTTAGCCTTCCAAAGCTACTTTAGGTGTACTGCAGGTGTGGTAGTATGCGATACGTGATTTTATCTAAAAAATGCTGACAGGTCCGTGAGAGGTTCTGGTCCGAAGAGGCAGACAATAAAAAATCTGCGTTGTCGTCAATGTGTTAATGCATGCGTCCTGGCGGACCGATAAAGCAGTGATTTTGGCATGAATACTTACAGCAGACTGTGCGGCAAAAACATAGGCACTATTTTTGGACAACCACTATCATTGCACGAACTAACCATTTGGTTAGCTTTGGTTGCAGATGTGTTAAAGAGGAACTTATTAAGGAGCCTGGAACCACGCCTGATGTAAACATGAACACGGACTCGAACTGCCCCCATAAACCTCTCAAATCTCACGCAAGCGTCTGCTTTTAGCTCCGAAAGAGAAAAACAAGCCGTTATTTAGCTCTACGCACACAATTCGAACTGAAGTGCTTTAAGTTTAGGAGCAGCACATCAAAGGGGATGAAAACACTTGAACAGAACGAGAAGCCG